AGGCTTGGTTCTGAGTGTGGAAGAGAGTTGGTAAATGAATTATTTTTCAAGTATGTGTTGACTCTGCTAAACCTGTAATGATTACAGAGCTACTGATCTTGGTCTCCCAGTGTCAGTAATTTAAGATGATGAGGCATCTTTAATTTGAGAAGAACTTCACAACTATAATATGCCTGTGTGGTTTTAAAATCAGTATTGTAGGTGGTAGGGGAAGTGATGAATCAAGGTGGTTTTTAATGAATAATAATAAAACATTTTTACGTTTTATTACTCTCTGAGGGACACCACTTGTCACCAGTCTTGATTGGGACATTGAGCCCTTGACTAGTCTCTGGATGCAACCACCCAGCCAGTCCTAATCCACCAAAACAGTTCAACCATCAAATCTTTTCTCCGCAATTTGGAGAGAAGGATGTGGTGGGGGACTGTGTCAGGGGCTTTGCAGAACTCCAGACAGATGACATCTATAGTTTTCCCCTTGCCTTTAGCTCTAATGTTATGGAAAAAAATGGCAGCATAATGTTTGGATTATGTTGTTCCACAGACTCTCTAAAATCTTTGTCCACAGTAGTGTAGTTCACATAGTATTCAAACTGTGACTTTGGCACTTGCTTCCTCACACAGAAATTCTGTGCCATGGCCAGTAACGTAATCAGACCCTCATTTGGAGTGCAGGAATAGAAAGTGAGAGAATAATATAAGAAGTGTGAAATGAATGTAACTGAAAAATCTCACCACAGATTTATCCCGCCTTTGAGCCTGAAGTATATCTGGCACTTAGAACTGCAAGGAGATTTATCCCATCCAGATTCATCTCAGAAGTCTTTTACTGCAATAAAATGGTGGTGGAGCTGATGTTGTGTGAGAGCTGGCTGCGTTATGAAATTTTGGAGAACAACACAAGTACAGCATAAACACTTGATTTGTTCACTGAATGACTTGAAGGGATTTGCTGTCTCAGCAGGAATTTCCACCAGATTCAGGTCATTCAGGTGTAATTGCCATTGTCATTACAGATTCAGGTGTAATGTCATTGTCATTACTATTAACTTTGGCAGAGGGCTTACATCTCTGTGTGAGAAGGGAGTGAGTGGAATGTATTTGTTTCAAGAGGTTTCAGTGGCCAAATACCAAGGGTGGGTGACTTTGGYAGGTGGCTCATTCCCTGGTTGTTGGACTGGTTGAATCAGGTTGATTAGCTATCAGGCATGAGTTACAGCTGGCTAATGTTCTCCCTTTCTCAGTCCTTCATGAAGCAGAAGTAATGCTGATGAGTGGATAGATTGACATTAAAGCTTTGTGCTGATAGCTAGTCAAATTGAGACTAGAGTGAGAAAGAAACCAGCATTCCAAATTTTCATGCATTGCTGAGCCATGCCTGCTTTTTTTGCAAAGAAATGTACCTTTTTCTGTTCTGTGAGATATTTGTATTGATATAGACAACTTGTGAGTTGAAAGAGCGCTAGGGTGACAAAGTATGAAGCCTTTCAAAAAGTAACATGGACCTCTTAATTTTGGTGGACAACTCTTAAGAATTCCATTTGTGTATTAAGAAAGTTTTTGAGAGAGGTTTCTYTCCTCTGGAGGAGTACTGTGTTCATACAGCTTTAAATAAAAGATTGTGCTGTGTATGTTTTAAATACCTGGTGGGTTTTTTGAAGATTGCTTTATAGAAATAACTTCATTATCCTTCCAGTGATGACATTTAAGTATAAACTCATAGCTGGTTTCTTCCAAAAGATCTGCATTAAGACTTCATAAATTACTTAACTCAAATGGGTATGAATTGTCCAATTATTTACATGTTCATGTAAAGCTTGAGATATTGAAAGTTTTTCTTTTTCTTTCTTGAGAGCACAAATGAGGTACTMAGAAAAGCTGGATGACCTGTGCTAAGGATCTGTGTCTTTAAACCATGTTGATTCATATGCACAGAGTGCTCCAGACTCATCTGGAACAGCTCCTGTTCTTCAAGAACAGAGAAAGATTAGTCACCACACCACGTCAGGTCTTTAGAATATGTCACTTTTATTTTGGATCTTTGAACCCAGGAACTTCTGACGCCTCACAGGGGGATGAAACATCCCTATGATGCACCCAGTCAGTTAGGAAGAATCTTGGTGGTGGTATTGTGTGGGATGATGTCACTGGGCTGGTCAGCTTGTGCCTCCAGGTGAAAGGTTTTCTTGCACTTTCTTCARCACCCATCATGATGCATGTTTATACTGGTCATAAAACTGACTGGTCTCTATTACAACTGCAGACACGGTTCCTTGCAACTGAACTTTGAGACGACAAAACTCCAAATGCAGYATGTATGGTGTAATATTTCCTTGTAGTTTTCTGTTCTTTGGTGGTTTTGTTATTCTTTCTTGTCCCTTTGATCATCAGTAGCACCTGACGCTATTTTACGTGTACTTAGCTGAGAGTGAAGGTGTATTTTAAATTACAGAGTAGCAGACTTCAGCAGAACCCATGCTTTCAGCACCCAGAGCCTGTAGCTGTGCTGTAACAGCCCACAACATACCTGTTTCAGGCTGAGTCTCATCTTTGTCAAATGCAATTTGAGGTTAAGCTTCAACTGAGAAAAAACTTTAGGAAACCAAAAACCAAATTATTTTTTCTTCAATCAAAACRTCAGTGCTCTCTAGGCTTGTCCTTGGATTTATTGGTGTCATCTTCCAAAGTGAAGCTTTTTATGTATTTACAAAGATGTGCAGATGTGTGTTTGTTTAGTGGTTAGATTTCGCTGGGGACAAAATGCTGCTTTGACAGATGCTACACTACATCAGGCATCTCAGTGTGCAGCAGATCCTGTCCTGTGTTCATGAGCTGGGCTTGTTTAGCYTGAGAAAAGGAGGCCGARGGTTGTTGTTACTGCTCTCTACACATACTTGAAAGGAGGTTGTAGACAGTTGGGTTTTGGTCTCTTCAGTGACTTAGTGCCTCCAGGTCCCAGGTCCTGCTACCTCCTGTTGTGAATCTCTCCTGTAAGATTGCCACAGACATGGTTTTCCCCTTTTAAATCACAGCACTGCYGCTGTTTTGTACCAGCTGAGAGGCACTGCCTGGTGTCCATGTGCTGTGTCCCCAGTTCCCATGGTGCCAACAGCCAGAGACTGCTGCAGGTGATGGGCTGACCGAGTGTTGCTGGAGCCAGCAGTGGTCCAAAGGTGAGATCCTGACTTCAGGCAGAATGCCCATTGACGTCAGCAAAGTCAGGATCTTACTCAGAGCCAGCAGTCCAGAGGCTAAAACTGGGAACCTCTTTCAGCATCTCTCTGATTTCCCTTTATAYTGATACGTGTTTTATTTTTCATTTTATTCTCTTCAAAGCTCAGTAAGAAGCAGCTTTCTGTCCTGTGAAACTTTTCAACACACACAAAGCATTTCAAAGCAACTGTGAATGAAACAAAGCACTAGAAACAGAACTGAAATTAATCTTATAAAAAATCTTAGAGTAAGCCAAATATGAAAGGGTGTTCAGAAATTCTGATTTACTGTCCAGCAAACAGCAGGCACAGCAAGCGGTGGAACTGAGAAACAAACGGATAATTAAAGTCATTGGGAGGCACCAGCATTGTTTCTTAAGAGAAAAACCTKTTAAAGAAGAGCCTGTGAACATGTGCATAGGTATAGTCAGTGTAGTGCACTTGAATTTTCAGAAGGTTTTAATGGGAATGACAGTGGTTTCCAAAGAAGCAAAAATATCTTGTGATTAGAAGGAAAGACTTTTTATGGATTAAGAACTAGAAAGCAATAAAAAGATATAATTGGTTTATCGATGGGRAGGGGTTTCCTGAGAAGTCCCTTGAGGATCTTTGTTGGAATTTGTGCTATTTAACTGCTTCCACAATGGCCTAGAAAATACTGATAATAGAAAATAGTCAAAATGTACTGATAATAGAAAAGTATTCAAGGTRGGAAAAACTGAAAGCTGGCTGTAAGGACTTTCAGAAGGCTTCTAATTTACTCTATATGGGTGAAAAACTGGTGACTTGAATTTCCATCACTATGAGCTATGTCAGCAAACCCCCCACATACCATATAAATGTGTATACTGATGAGCTCCAAATTAAGCAATCATGAAAGTGAATAAAAGATTAGATTTTCATGAGAGGCTACCACTAAATCTGCCTTCAGTGCCACATRCAGTTCTAACTACATTTTAGACAGGACTTAGTAGAAAGTGAAAAGKTGCAAAAAGGATCAAATACATGAGCATGACATCTGTAAAATGAGAAGCTATATGAACTCCACTTTTTTTTATCTGATTAGAGATCACTACTGGAGTAGTATGAAGTCAAGAACGGTATGGGGAAAGTGGTTAAGGAACAGTTACTGGCAAGTTCTCGTAATGCATAACCAAGGGAAAGATTATGTCACCATGCCTAAAATAGAAGTACYTTTTTTTCGATTTTAATCAATGTGTAACAATGTTGTGAAACCCCAGCCATGGGATCTTGCAAAGGCTAAAACCAGAAGTAAACACAAGAGGTAACTGGACATAATCACAAAGGTKAGGTTCAATGTTTGCTCTTAAAATAAGGGCAGACCTCTGAACTTATCTTCTTCTCCCCTAAGCATTTTCAGGGCATGTGTTGATACCAGTTGTCATTAGAAAGGGTGGGAAGRGGTTTGAGAAGAGGTATATAATGGCTTTTACCGTGTGTTTCTCCAGTGGTTTCAAGAAGCAAATTCAATGCAAACTTTTTTAGTCTGTCTGCTGTGATACAGAAAATGTTTATTTCACTTACCTTTCTTTTCTTAATTTTATTCTTGCCCCTGCTTTTTCAATAGACATGTCCTTATATTTCTTTAAATAGTTTTTATCAAGCTGAGTGTTTGATTTATATGTATTTTATAATATCTTTTGTACCTTGTCACCTTCGCTGTTTGTACACTGGTATAGAAKGTCTTCCAGTTACAGATTATCTGAAAGGACTGTTCTGGTCTTTCTTCTTTTCACATTTCAATTTTCACTCTTTTTGCTTCTGTAGATGACCAAACCCCCAATGGAACAATCCARCCAAATGTGCCTATTGCCACAACCAGGCCAGTCAGATGGAATACCTCAAGTCAGCCTCCGATTAACAGACAGTGGTTCATGTGGGAAGGAGATGGACTTAGCAGATGAAATCTCCTTCGTTAACAATGATGTGTTTTACTCCAGGTTAGTGTTCTTTTTTTTTGTCTTTGTGTTTGTCTCTTTGTTTTGTACCTGCACCTCTGGCTCTGGGCATTTTGAACACTTAGACAGGATACTGAGGTGTAAGATAAATTAATGTACCTTTTCCTGTTGAATCCTCACACTCCAAAGCCATCTGTGTGCTTTGGTTTGCCTCTCAAATGTAAAATTTCAAGCATAGTAAGTTAGTATCCTTGGTGAAGGAGTGCAGGGGGACAGGTCTGATCTATGATCAGGCACTAGAAATTGCACTGTGCACAAGATGCAACCAAAATTTTTTACTTTTGAGTAATCTAGTGTATTTGATTTGCYCAGTTTAAGTCTTAACAGATGGCTGCCTTTATTCTTACTCTTAAATCCAAAAAGRAAGGGGCTTTTGAAGGGTTTTCTTTTTCTGGCAAGAATGATGCTACTGATTGTACTACTCTGTTCAGACAAGAATAGAAGAGTATGTGTAGAGTATCTGTAAGAATATCTGTCCGAATTTATCTGTGAGAGTCTATCAAAAACATCTATAAAATATCTATCTAAAAGAGTATTTGGAGTTTTGATTGCTGGCAGATTCTCTGTTAAGTGAACAGGTAATGGGCATCTTGCTTTCTTGTAAAGTCCTTCCCTGAACATCAGACTAAGCCAGAATCTTTTTGTTGTTCTCAGGATATTGAATTGAGTCTGTCATTTTCTCTCCTCTTGTGTCTAGTGCAGCACATGAAGGATTTGGGTTGCTGTGGGAAATTTCAGTGTGCTACTGAAATATGGAATTGTATAATGTCRTGAAACACAACACTGCAGCGTCCCAGCATACCAACCAGGAACACAAAGCAGAGGCAGTGCTGCCAGGCACGTAACTGAGTGACTTCACTGTGTAAGCAGGAGATGCGTGCTATTCTCAGCACCAGTGCAGACAGCACTCAGTTTACAAGACAAGTTAGCAAATTATGCACTAGAGTAGATTTTGATTCATAGGAATGGTGGTGAAGCATAGATGTTGAATTTGGTTTCTAGCCCTTGGCAGGCACACGTGCTCTTTAACCCTTAGCTGTGCCAGCTGTGTGTTTCACTCYCCCCAAGCCTCTCCAAAAATTCCAGCAGCCAGAACACACCAAGTTTGTTTATATGGCTTCATTAATCCAGCTGCTTTTGACTGAGGTGGGTTAGAAGTCAATTATCAGAGCAGGTCAGCTGGSAAAATGGAGAAGGCAATACAGTTCTAGCAGCTAGACAGGGCCAGGCAGGTCAGGCTGGGGCAGCCTCTTGTGTTCATATTCTGGAGCCTGGCAGAGAGTGTGCCCCTGCCTGTACTCCACTGTGTGTTCCAAGGTGTAAAGGGGAATGAAGTGCCTAAATGTTGAAACAAACTGCCAGGTCCATGTGTGGGAAGGTGTGTGTGACTGATGTTCTTCATGAGGGACCCCAAAAAACTGCATTTCTTTCTTTGCATTTGTAGTCCCCAAATGTTGCTGTAGGAATTCATGCTTTCCTGTCAATGTGTAATTGCATAGCAGAGTACTGTTGAAGTATGGGACAATTGGGCCGATGCTGGCACAGGACATTAAGCACCAAATGAAATGTGTTTGTAACTAGGCAGAAACCCARTCACCATGCTTGGGCCTTGGGATGAAAGATGTCTGCATCTCTTAATTTTATCTGGGAAATTAATTAACTGTAGAAATTTATTCTCTTGTAATCCCATTTTATTCAAGAATGCTCTAGTTCTCTGTCCCATTCTGTACTCTTCTGTACATGTTTACCTAATTGGGTTGAACATCTACACTGCTGTTTGTTTCTGGTACATTTTTGACAGTGATCTACTGCTGCTGCTGAAGGAGGAGTAGGTAGTGTTTGCTGTTTTCTTCCCAGCTTCAGGATGGCAGATTGTTGGGCAGGATGGGATGGAGAAAAAGCCCTGGACCAGGGGAAGAGCAGAGAGAGGTCTCTARCAGACCTAATACATTTGGGGGACACCTTTCTATGTGTAACAGGCAGAAACCCCAATTTCTTGGCTTTAATGTAGTGCTCTGATATATCAGGAGTGKTTTTAAACATGCTTTTGGCAGCCTTGTGTTACTCCATGTAATTTAAACCCACAATGAAGTATTACCTGGTGTTATTTCAGTGCAAGGCTATTATTAGGAGTTTTCACCTATTTCAGCAGAAGGGCTCTGGCATCTGACCTAGATTACAAAGTGCTTTGCAAACACACTGCTATTCTTGTTGGGGGGTTTTGTGTCACAAGGTACCAACAGTTCTAAAATAAATGTTAGCATTAATTATATGTAATTACCAGATAAGTTTTAGTGAAATTACTGTATCTGCTATGATACGATCTTCGTTAGCAAAGACTAAAGGTTGTTCTTGGCAGTGATAATCATTTGCTGTTTCATGAAAACGCCTGTGGTTTGTTCCCTTTCCATGCTCAGATGCCATGATATGGGTGGATTAGAAGGGGATGAAGGGCTACACAGAACAGTAGATGCAAAATTCCACCTTCAGCAGCTTCACAAGTGTAACAGTGAAGAAACAACCACACACACTAAGCCCCTAAGGCCCCCTCCAGCAAGGATTACAATCTTTAATAAATTCTCAGTCAGTTTCATTTGACAATAGAGCCTTCAGGGAGAAACAGAGAGATTTCTGGTTGATTAGTAATTTTTAATGCTATTTAATATGTGTCTTCATACAGTTGTCCTTAAAATGAAGGTCTATGTATTAAGTAGCAACCACAGTGGTGACTATGTCTTCTAGAATGACTTACCATTTCCTTTAAATRTTGAAAGTCATGCCTCCTTATAGGTATGATATTCCTCATTGCAGGAATTTTGAAGGTGTTACTGTTATTTGGAATATGCAATATATCAGTTGCAGTCAAAACATTGCAGAGCATAAAATCTGCATTGCCTTCTGTTCACAACAGTTATCTTAAGAAAATGTTATGTGTAAAGTTGTTATGTTCTTTTTCTCTGAGCAAAATAGGTGGATTAACTCTATGTACCTGCAGTCCCCACTAGCAYGTAATGTATGTGTTATTTTGAGAATTGCCTCATTATTATAGCTGTATGCCAAGGGCAAACTCCTAATAATGCAGTAGCAGAAAAGCATACCTGTAATGCACTTCACAAGTAAATCGAAAACTGTGGAGAAACAGGAAGGAAGAAAGGTGGGACGGAGCAGGAGAGGAGAAACTGGTTTTCTGAAAAAAGGGATGAAAGTCTTTAGCAATATGGAGCCTGTTACGTACTTCTGTGAGTCTCCTTTTTGCAAGAGTTTATGTGCAGAACYTCAGAGTGGGGCAAGCAAACCTCTGGACTCTGGGAACCACACACSCACTTTGTCTTTACCTGGTTGACAGCCACAAGATTCACACTGCACTCAGGAGCTGGGGGAGGCAACAGCTTTGGGACTGGAGAGTGGGTTGGAGGGCATGGGCCTCCCTGGGGTCTCACCAGACCTTCAGTAACAGGGGACTAGAGCAGGCTTGCAGCTCTGTGAAGCAGAGTCCCTCTTTGGATCCCTCTTTGTCTCTCTGTCTAGAAGGAATAAGTCTGCTCAAAGCTGTGGTTCATACATCACTACAGTTAAGAACTGGTGTGATTTTGGATGTGTTTACAGGTACTAAAACTTCAAATAACTGCTTCAAATAATAGATTCAAATGGCGTTTACTTCAGGGTTAGATGTATTAAGTTTTAAGTGGATACAAAGGTAGGAGGGCCTCTTGCAAGCAATGCTCTCAGCCTTTTGTGCTAAAATGCATATACAAGCAAAGGAAAGAGAGCCTTCAGGAAGGAGGGAAAATGCTTCCKGCAGTCAAAATGTGAGGCAGGGGATGTGGATGATGAGCATAAATGTCTTTCCTGGTACTGACTTAGAGGTGCATKCTTCCTGCAGACTTCAGTTGACATTATGCTGGATCTTTTGCCCAGGAAAGGGCACTGAAGTATTCTTTGCTTTCATATATGTCTATTCAAGCATTTGCTAGAACTGCATCTCTTTGCACTCCTGGGACTGTTGTGAAAAGGGATCCCTCAGTGGGAGAGCATCCTGCTGTTTGTGGTGTGGTTAGGCTCTGTGCATGGAAATAGCAATGAAAGGAGTGCAGTATCCTTGGTAGTAGTGGTTGGCTGCTGGGGAATGGGTGCATGTATGGCAGCCAGACTTCACGATAAACATTGTGCAGTTCCTGAGAGCCACAGCTTAGAGCAGTTGTTCAGTAAGCCARCCTTCTGTATTTTGTAGCCATGTCTTTGTGTGCCAGAGATCACAAATTCCTGTTTGTGACAGCCATCGCAGCTGCAATGAGATTTGCCGGCACAGATACCCTGTGCTGGCTTTCTAACACGTGCATGTTCTCAAAGAGAAGGTTTGTTTACATCAACCTTTTGTTCACAAAGATCTTTATATCTGACCTGTGTCCTGAAAATAAAGGGATCACATGCCTAGTAGTGTGGTAGCATCCCTAAAATAAAGGGTTGGTTAATGTATCCTGCTGTGCCCTCTTCTTAATGACACTGTGTATTTTCACTGCTAGTTGTTGAGGTATGAAAACATACATGTATTTGTACACTGAGAAGTTTGTGCTTACTATAAACACTTTCCCTGTTTGTTGGCTTTCCTTTTAGCAGCTGTGGTTTAAAACTGAGGCAAGCCAAAACTTATCATTATTCTCTGGCATGTGATAAGAACTGGCCTGTTGTTGCCAGAACAAATCAAACAGGGGGSCTAGTGTTGWTTGCTTAGCTGACTATTTTTGTTTAGGTTTGGGTTTTTTTTGTTTTTGAAGTCTGTCATGCCAGTACATTCAGTTCCCATCAAAAGTAATAATTTGCCTTACCACTGAGGAGCCTTGCTGCCAGGTTTACATAAGGGATTGCAGCCAGATAGCAGGCAGGGCTGCCCTCCAACAGTCGTGGRTTCGTCAAGAAAACCATTCAGGAAAGGGGTAAAGGTCTGGAATGTTGGTGGGGAGGTGGTAAGCAAAGTTGCCTTT